ACCTTCGTCGACAGGAGAGGAGTCTGCTCGTCGCTTGGAGCAGGGCAGCCGGCAGCCGGCGAGGCAGGAGATGGAGGACTGGTCTCTGGTCCGGCGACGAGCAAGGTTAAGCGATTTGGAGATGGGATTTGGGTCCGGCGTGGTGTACCAAAAAGACGAACTCATCATCACCTTGTCACCTTGAATAGTAAAATAGAAATGTGGGGGTAACCCATCCCACATCGAAGAATCATAAAGAACTCTCAGCTTTGGGCTTCTATATATTTGATAATTCTAAGCCTTTGTAAACCACGCAGCCACGCGATGAACACATAGCGAACTATTCTTTCGCCTTTTACTAAAGAATACCGTGTGTTTGTCGCAAATAGTGGCATACGCCATTTTTTTGGAGGGTTCCTTGTAACCAAGGACCCAACCAATGTCAGTCCAACTTTTGGTGTTTCTGCTCCAGCTCCGGCTAGTTAAACCAACATTTTAGTTGTTTCCTATTTTCATTGTACTTCTGTTGAGCCATTCTTTGATTTCAGTTTTGGCTATACTATTATACTCTCTTTTGTTAGTCTTAATTTCATTTCAGTTTTATTTATTTTTTTATGAAACAAATTTAATTAATCAAAGAGTCAATAAAGTTTGGATGAGATAATCCAATATAAGTCCAGTCTCGATATCAGCTACCTTCTCAATGCCTTGCAAATTACCAAAGTCAGATGAAATAGATGGGTTTAGACTTTAGAGGATCCGGGAGCCAAGGTTGATTCAATATATTTTTTAGTTCTACAATAATAAATTAACAATGCATTCTTTGTATTGATTTTTATTCTTTGGTGTTGTGTTTAATAATATTGGTTCAAAATTTGACACATTATATACCTATGTTTAACGAGTAGAAAAGTAAAGGGTATGAAACATGTTAACCAACATCTTATATGTCTGCGTTAACATATTTTGTATTTATAGTTAACAATTTGGGAGTGTTTGACGAACGATTGATAGCTGATTGATTTAACTAGTAGTTGATGGCTAATTGTGTTAGTTGGTTTGACCAGTTAATTGTATTAGCTAGTTAAAAAAAAAAATTATTTGATAAATTAATTGTTTATTAGTAGGTGATTGAATGTAAAATAATAATAATAATAATAATAATAATAATAATAATAATAATAATAAGAATAATTATAATAATAATAATAATAATAATAATAATAATTATACTGTCAAAAATAATAATAATAATAATAATAATTATTATTATTATTATCTTGTTAAATTTTGAATTATGAAAAAAAAAAAAGACTTGCAATTTACACCTTTCAATTTATATGAGGGCATTTAAGTAATTGTTGTAATATACCCTTCAACCAAACAAGTTAATGTTACATTCCTGCAACTTTAACCAAACACATCAGGTAATCTTACATTCCCAAAATCTCACATTACTTACCCCCAGGTAATCCTATTACCTGGGGTAATCAAAGATTCCATGAACCAAACGCACCCTTAAGGGTATGAGTATATTGTGTTATTTTAACCTTTAAATATAACAAGATGATAAATTTTTATTGATAAATAATTATAAAATTTGAGCATCATCTATACTTTTTTAAGGACATAAGTTAATTATTTTTATTTATTTAACTTTTATATTAAATTATATTCTAAAACAATTTTTATTAATTATTTTCAATTTTAACAATTTAAAATGATTTACTATAATAATAATAATAATAATAATAATAATAATAATAATAATAATAATAATAATAATAATAATAATAATAATAAATTGGATTATCTCATCAAAACTTTATTATTATTATTAGGAATAAGGGTCAAATTACACCAACATGCAATTAGGCCACCCAACTCAAAAAAGCTACAATTAGGTCCCTGAACTACACAAATTCATGCAATTTCACCAAAAATGACTTGTTTACCTATTATATTTTGGTGTGTAGTTGGATGACCTATTTGACCCTTATTATTATTATTATTATTATTATTATTATTATTATTATTATTATTATTATTATTATTATTATTATTATTATTATTATTATTATTATTATTATTATTATTATTATTTTATTATTATTATTATTATTATTATTATTATTATTATTATTATTATTATTATTATTATTATTATTATTGTTGTTGTTGTCAAATGTATAAAGTCACAACCCATTTTATTATTATTATTATTATTATTATTATTATTATTATTATTATTATTATTATTATTATTATTATGCTACAGACTCTATTACATTGTAGTATCTGTTCAAACATACTTTTCTCACCCTAATGAAGCACAAAGAGAGAAGTCACTGCATGCCATCGGTGCACAAGTTGTTTGGCACCCACCACCTATTTAAAAGCAAATCTCATTGATTCCAAATGATAAAATAGTCAATATACTATTGATTCCAACCAGCTGATCAAAAAAGCTACATCCATTAGCTTTTCAATTTTTGGTTGATTGGCCCAATCAGTCAAGGTCAATCAGCTATTTACCAAACACTTCAAAACAGCTTATTGGTGGGTCAAACAGTCACACTAGGTCAAATGACCTAAAATCCCCCCTTTATGTGTGTGTAATTAGTTAATTACCATGTTTTGTGCTTTCTTTGTTTACATGTATAGAAATTGTTAACAACAACTCGGCAAGTATAGAATGCGTTAATTGCAGAAAATTTGTGAAAGAGTTAATTCCAGCAATGGTCCCTCGAGTATGCTGATTTTCCACATTTAGTCCTCGTCTTTTAATTTGGACAATTTAACCATCCGACTGTTAAATTTTTTCCAATTGAGGTCCTTCCGTTAAGTGCTGGTTAAGTGGGCGTCTATTTGAGGGCTAAAATCGGCATTTTCATTACTCAGCGTATATTTCATCTTCATTACCCCTGTATACGTGAAAAAATACAACATATAATAATTCCTCACTCTCTGCTTGTGGTCTGCTCGTGCCGTTGTCGCCTTTCTCTCTGCTTACCAAATAATAGTTGCAGTGGGGAAGTGCTATCCCACTGTTAGTGAGGAGTACCAGAAGGCTATTGAAAAATTGAGGAGAAAGCTTAGAGGATTCATTGCCGACAAGAACTGTGCTCCTCTTATGCTTCGTCTTGCATGGCACTCTGCTGGAACTTTTGATGTCTCGATCAAGACTGGAGGTCCATTCGATCGGAACCATGAGGCTCAAGGCTGAGCAAGCTCATGGTGCCAATAATGGTCTTGACATTGCAGTTAGGTTGTTGGAGTCATTCAAGGAGCAATTCCCTATTGTCTGACTGGTTGAAAAATATGTTGCAGATTAAGATGCCTTCTTTGCTGACTATGCAGAGGCTTATTTGAAGCTCTCTGAACTTGGATATGCAAAAGCTTAAGCTGGTGTTGAACAAGGTAGATGGAAATGGCTTGTTTTTGCTTAAATCATTAGAAATGCTTGGCTTGGCTTGAGTACTTCAGTTTCGACTCTAGTTTCTTCTACCTTTGTTGTGCTCTGAAACTGTATTCGAAAATCATTTCCAGCAAAATAATTACTGAAAAAAAAAATACAACATATAATCATCTTCTTTCCCTAGGCTTTATTTTGTCTTTCTCATAACAGCATCTTCTTCAATTCTTCACTAAACTCTACAGATCTATCCAGCCTACCCATCGCTGCATTCTTGAAGTTCATCACTTCTTGAGCTTGTGAGCATGAGATTCTCATTCTCCCCCCACTCACACTCGGCCATGTAGTTAGGGAAGTTGTCGATGCTTCTGAAGTAGGAGCTCACCATGCCGACACTGTTCGCCGGCGTGACCGGGGTGTTGGAGCCGCAAGAATTGGGGAATATCTCGGGGTTCTTTGCGCCATCGCGAACTGGCACTCGTCGCCGGTGGCGATCGTCCCCCAGTCGGATATAATCGTGGGAGTGCCGGCAGTCAGTTATTGACGAGCACGCCGAAATTCCACACGAGAGCGGAGAGGAAAATGACGGGACGCCGTATGCTTCGTCCCCAGGCTCCGGCACCCATGTGTTGGCCCTCCTCGACGACGGTTCCCCTGCTTTCCGGCGACAGAGCTGATGGCGAGGCAGTAGCGGTGCGTGGTGTTCGGCAATGGCGACTGGACCTTCGGCGGGTAGTGGTGGCTGGATCCTCCCCGGCGGTGTGGTTGAACGGCGTGCGTAGGTAAGTTGTGGTGTGAGAACCACAATAGAAATCGCGATGAAAAAATATGAAAATATGAAATATTGGTTGAGTAAGGAAAAGACGACTTTATCCCTCGAATTGACACCCACCCAACCAATACTTAACGGAAGGACCTCAATTGGAAAAAATTTAATAGTCGGATGATTAAATTGTCCAAATTAAAAGACGGGACTAAATATTGAAAATCAACATACTCGGGGGACCATTGCTGTAATTAACTCTTTGTGAAATTGGTGTTTAATTATTGTAATTTGTAATCGCAAATATACTCACCCTTTTGAACAAAGGGTTTGAATTTCTTGTGGAGGTGTGTGCATGGTGTTTTGCCAACAATGGAGGCTTTAGCGTCGAGACGAGTAGATGTGGAAACAAAATGTCATCTTTGCAGACAACACCCAGAATCGTTGCTTCACTTGCTTTTTGAGTGTATTCATGTCAGGCTACTTTGGAACGAAGTGTTTTGTTCTCCCCCAGCCAATGATGATAGCTTCATTTCATGGTTCTCAAAGTGGCTTGCGGGTTCTGATAGTTTGGTAGTGAAGCATTGCATTGCTATTTGTTGGTCTGTATGGAAATTCCGTAATGAGCTTGTATGGAACAACAAGGCTTGGAATTTCCAGCCCTCAATGCCAGAAATTACAGCCTAGGCACGGTCTAATCAAAGACTGGAAAATTTCCAGTCTTCCTCGACACTCAAGCAATCAGAAATCAAGAATCAAAAACCAAAAACAAACAAGTTCAAGGCAGAAAATTTCCAAACTCGAGGACAGAAAAATCAAGGTTCAACCAGCAATAAAAAAATTTCCAGACTCGAAGAAAATTTTAACTGAGAAATCAAGGAGAGGAGACCGGAGGAGTACCTTCGTCGACAGGAGAGGAGTCCGTTCGTCGCTTGGAGTAGGGCAGCCGGCGAGGCAGGAGACGGAGAACTGGTCTCTGGTCCCTGGCCCGGCAACGAGCAAGGTTAAGCGATTTGGAGATGGGATTTGGGTCCCGCGTAGCGTACCAAGAAGACGAAGTATCATCACCTTGAATAGTAAAAATAGAAATGTGGGGGTAACCCGTCCCACATCGGAGAATCATAAAGAAACCTCAGCCTTGGGCTTCTATATATTAAGCAATTCTAAGCCTTTGGAAACCACGCAGCCACGCGATGAACACATAGCGAACTATTCTTTCGCCTTTTACTAAAGAATACCGTGTGTTCGTCGCAAATAGTGGCATACGCCATTTTTTGGAGGGTTCCTTGTGACAAAGGACCCAACAAATTTCAGTCCAACTTTTGCTGTTTCTGGTTTAGTTCCGGCTAGTTAAACTAACATTTGAGTTGTTTCATATTTTCATTGTACTTCTGTTTAGCCATTCTTTGATTACAGCTAGTTTTGTCTATTCTACTCACTTTTGTTAGTCTTATTTTCATTTCAGTTTTGTTATTTTTTGGGAATATTTGTTGGGTCCTTTTGTAACAAAGGACCCAACAAATTTCAGTCCAACTTTTGCTGTTTCTGGTTTAGTTCCGGCTAGTTAAACTAACATTTAAGTTGTTTCATATTTTCATTGTACTTCTGTTTAGCCATTCTTTGATTACAGCTAGTTTTGTCTATTCTACTCACTTTTGTTAGTCTTATTTTCATTTCAAAGTTTTGTTATTTTTTGGGAAAATTGTATTTTTAATCTGTAACTCAAGTTCGAGTTTGTTCCAAGGGTAAAATAATAATTTTAATAATAGAGAGTTTAAATAAGAATTTCAAATTATAATCTCTTCTAACAATTTAATAATAGAAGGATAAAATAAGAATTTCAAATTATAATCCCTTCTTATGTTGAAACTCAATGCCCAACATTCATTCTTTTTTTCTTATACCTACAATCAAAGGTCTTTTTCTTCTTTAAGTTCTGAAATTTCAAATACGTCCACTTCCAAGCAGCAAAATTCACAGGTAAGTTGTTTCTCTGTTTTATATAAATAATTAATATTCCCCCCGTATTGATGAATTAATTTAGTCATTAATTATAGGATGTCATCTCTTAGTTGTGATACTTTATCTTTTCCTCAATTTGGGGATAATTTTTTATGTAGATGAGATGATTTATTACCCATCAAAATGTCATGGAGTTATATGCTAATCGAGGAGAAAAGATACCAAGTTTGTCCATGTTATGGTGTAAATTTTTATATTTGTCAAAAAATTGTAATTTAAGTTGTTTTTTTTATAAATAGAATTGAAATATTGAAATTTGATTTTTTAGAAAAATAGGAGTATGGTTTTTCGCCTATAACATAAGCAACTTAGAGCTTTTGTCGATTTGGGAGAAAGTATTTTGGCTAAGTTTACAAGTTCTATTAGAAATTTACTTCTTTACCCCTGGAATTAACTTTGTCAACACACCACTAGTGTCAACGACCAAACTCGTCACTTCTCTAATAACTGAGGAACTAAAAATAGATACGGTAATAATATATGGACTGAGTCGTCACTACAATTATAACTCAGAGACCAAACTTACAATTTTCTCTTCTTTTTTTTTTTTTTTTTTTTTTTTTTTTTTTTTTTTTTTTTTTTATGAAACAAAGAGTCAATAAAGTTTGGATGAGATAATCCAATGATAAGTCCAGTTTCCACTGGCGTTATTAATGATATCAGCTACCTTCTCAATGCCCTGCAAATTACCAAGGTCAGATGAAATAGATGGGTTTAGAGGATCCGGGAGCCAAGGTTGATTCAATATATTTATTAGTTCTACAATAACAAATTAACAATGCATTTTTTGTATTGATTTTTTTTTTTTGGTACAAACAACTTAATTCATTATATCATCTCCAAGATAAGTTACAAGAAAAAACGGTGGCACATCAAACCACTCCCCACAATCTGGCATAGAAACAGCCGCCCTGGCTAGAGTATGGGCTACCTGATTCGCAGATCGTTTTACAAACCGGAATTCGACATCATTAATGGAAGATGCCAATTCTTTAATATCTCCTACCAAAAATCCAAACGAAGAGAAAAAAGATTCACTATGAATAGCATTACAAAGTAGTTGTGAATTTGTTTCGGCCTCCACATTACCCATACCTATGTCCTTCAGCCAACTCAGTGCGTCTCGCATACACATGGCCTCGGTCTCTCTAGGCTCGAAAAATCCCATCATCCTTCCATTCTTGGCAGCCAGAAATCTACCATCATCATCTCTTAACACCCATCCGAACCCCGCCCTACCATGCTGCTTATCAACTGAAGCATCCGTATTCAACTTGAGCCTTCCCCTTCTCGGCCTCTCCCGCCGCCCCAATGTCCCCCTAGTCTGTTGTCCGCCATCTACACACTGTGCCGCAACATCAACTCCAGGTCCCAAGGTTGAGCATTCCAAACCACGTCATTCCTGGCCGTCCACAAACCCCAACACAACATCAATAACTTGGACATTTGGTCATGTGACAACACTGCAATGCAATTAAAGAGCCACCAACTTGTTTCCTTAAAGACTGTGTTCTTCTTCCAGTAACCCAGTCTCTATCCCATATCATTTTCTACCATCTTTCCCTTCGTTTTTTTCCTTAGTCATGGCCTCCAGTAGCAAACAGCCAATGGATCTGGCAGACGAATACTCGTCTCTCTCCTTACAGGATGACGAGGAGTTTGAGTTCACTATCGAAGATGGAACTGCTTCCGAGTCGGAGTTTGATACCCCCTTTATCCTGGTCGGTAAACTTTTGTCTGAAAAACCTTCACGATTCAACTTCTTGAAGGACACCATGGCTACCATTTGGAGACCAAAGAGAGGAATGTTGGCAAGGGAGGTTTCAACTAATCTGTTCCTCTTTTATTTTGTCCACGAGCTTGATATCAAAAAGGTGTTAGAGGACGGCCCATGGTCATACGAATAGAACCTTCTTCTCCTCAAACAGATTGATGCTAATGTTCCTCCTCATACCATCCAAATGTCTACTGCAGACTTCTGGGTCCAAGCGTACAACATACCACCAGGCATGCAAACGGAGAAGACTGTGGTAATGATTGGTTCTTTCATTGGCTCTTTTATAAAAGCTGATGCTGTTAATCTTGATGGTCTGTGGAGAGGCTTCATGCGTATCAGAGTCCAGTTGGATATTACCAAGCCCCTCAAAAGGAAGATGAAAGTGAAACCCGCCTCAGGAGATTCATTATACATTGAGTTCAAATACGAAAGATTACCAACATTTTGCTTTCTCTGTGGGTTGATCGGCCATAATGACAGATCCTGCGATAAGCTTTTTGAAGGGAGTGTGGAACTTTCGGCAAGAAACTACCGGAGCTCAGAGCCACCGGCCGGCGAACCCAACCAAATACCGGCCAACAATGGATGCTAGCAGAATTGCCTCGCCGGAAGCCTAAAGAGGATACTACAAAGCATACTTTTACTCCTGGCAGCAAAGACAAACAAGCAGATATTCCATACGAGGAAACAGGGGGTCAGAGAATGCAGAATGTAGCTCAAGGTTCAGACTTACGACCTCGAGTTGTGCATGATATTAATGAGAGTTTGTCGGCATGTGGAGGTCATTTAATGCAAGCCAATGGGAATGCTGTGAACATCAATGCTCTGGACAGTTCAACGTTACATTACACAGCTGCATTTAATGAGCATTTAGGTCTTGGAACTCAGCTTTTATCCAATGGATCAATGCCTCTTGCCCCGTGTCCTTTAATGCACATCCCTAGTGGAGTTTTGGTCAACTACCCTTCAAATTTTCAGCCCAACCCACAAGGCTCATTACTAAGGGGACCCCAAATTGGAGAATCTGGTGGACTTGAGCAAAGAAAGAAACGTAAAGGCCCAGTTTGTTACGGTCAAGACCAGGATCTCGAAATGGTCAGTGTGGACACTAGCCCGAGTCTCTCAAAAAACTTGCTAGAGGCGGGACCTGCGACGCAGGCCCGCCTAGATCAATGAGTTTTATCTCGTGGAACTGTCGGGGGCTTGGCAACCATACGACAGTTCAAGTCCTTGTGGATATGGTCCACTCGAAGAGGCCGGTTCTTTTATTTTTATTGGAGACTAAGCTTGGTTCTGACAAGTTAGAAGATATAAAGAAAGTCATGGGTTTTGATTCAATGTTTATTGTTGATAGTGTGGGCTCTAGTGGGGGCCTAGCACTAATCTGGAAAAAAGAAGTTGCTGTAAATATTTTAGACAGTTCGAGTAACCACATTGACGCCACAGTCAAGATTCTTTCCTCACCAGTCACTTGGCGTTTTACGGGTTTCTACGGGAACCCAGAGAGACACCGGAGAAAGCTCTCGTGGAATCTTCTCAAGCAACTCTCCCTCGCCAACTCTCTCCCTTGGATGCTCATGGGAGATTTCAACGACATTCTCCTCCCGGAGGAGAAAATCGGAGGAGCTTGTCAACCGCGGTGGCTCATGCAGGGATTCAAAGACGCTTTGGATTTCAGTGGTTTGAAGGATTTCCAATTCAGAGGTTATCAGTTCACCTGGGAAAAAGGTAGAGGCACATCCAACTGGCTAAAGGAAAAACTTGACCGGATTCTTGTCAATAGCGGGTGGCTTGATATTTTCGAAGGTGCAAGAGCTGAGTCCTTCGAAGCCCCGTCCAGCGACCACATTCCACTCGCGATTTGGCCGTCTCCTGCGGCAAGTACTAGGAAGAGAAGAAGCTTCAAGTTCGAAAATTATTGGCTGAAAGAATCTCATTGCCGCGAGATTGTCCATCGTAGTTGGAGTGGATCGGAAGGCCTTCATCTGTGTTCCAGATTTGAGTTGTGCAGCACTGAAATCTGGAAATGGGGAAAAAATCTTAATAGAAACATGCAACCCCAAATTAACGATCTTAGAAGACTTTTGGGCACCCTCAGATTGAAAACAGACACCCAGAGCATAAGGGAGTTCTCCGATGGCCAGAAGCAGTTTCTTTTCCTCTTGAACAAACAGAACCAATTTTGGAAGCAAAGAGCAAAGTTTTTTTGGTTCAAGGGTGGTGATAACAACACCAAATTCTTTCACAATGCGGTG